CAAATTGCCAAAGACACTTGGCACCATTGCATTCATGGTCCATACGATGACCCGCGCCTGTCCCGTTAACATCCTAACACAAGATTGTCCATCAAATACAATGGTGGAACAATATTGTTAAAAGGGTTAAAACATGAGAAAAACCTTTGAGTACAATAGGGTAGACAAACTCTTAGTTACTTGATCAACTTGCAAAAACACTTGCCTACTTTTCAAACCACACTCCACAAACACAATTTCCAAACAATCTTTCAAAAAACATTTGAAACATCTTTTCGAAAAGATACACACCTTTGTATATACTCAAACACGAGTCATTACAATGGTTGCCTAGACAAAGCCTCTTTTTCAAAACATTTTCAAAACACACACACACACACACACACCATTTCAAGCAATTGAAAATCGAGGCAAGTGATCTAAACAAGTAACTAAGAGCCCATGGATAACCATGGATGAAAAGGGTGCTAATACCTTCCCATTTCATAATCTACCCCCCGAACCCACGAAACATCTCAAAAGGTTTTTCCTGTGCTTTTTAACCTTTCCTTTAGGATAAAATAAAAAGTCGGTGGCGACTCTTGCTAAACCTAACAAGTGCGAATACAAACGCAAAACTTCAAGTCAGTTCTCCCACCGTATCACACTCTTCATATCGTTCATCTTGCTTAATTTGCATACTTTGGAGCATAGCCATTAGAGAAGATTCATTTCCAGATGTAGTCCCAAAATTACCTTGCGAGCGAGATTCACGCTCTTGGTATCCACCATCATATGCTTGATTATTATCACCATGTTGTAGCCAGGTATCTTGCGGCCATTGTCTTCAATCTTGATCGAGCAACATTCAACCAAGCTTCATCTTGCTCATAATCAGCATCTGCCATGTTCCTATCTTCTTCATTTACACCGCCAATGGGTTGCTCATCAAACACGAGAACCTTTGTGTTAACCTCAAATTCAGTAGTATCATCAAAATTAAAGATCTTTTTGCGAGTACCCGCCATATGGAGGAAATACGCGTTTGATACCTTATCCCAAAAGTACCTCATGTGAGTCAAGGTACTTTGATCAAATTGTTGAGCAGTTCCTGGAGAGATGTAAAGAATATTCAGAACATCAATATTGAAGCAGTTGAGAATCTTGGCAATCATGGAAGCATAACAAAAAGAAGAGGCTATGTTAGCTTTCTTTATGACAAACATGCAAGCAACAAAGTAGTATTGCCCAGTTGATCTTGATTTTATAAAGAAAAGGTATATGATGTGAACCTCCATTTAAACTCTTGAACGTCCACCATTCTTTAGACCTAGGATATGAGACACAATCCAATGCAAGATGCGAGGGAGCTATTTGAGTTGGCCACTTCTAATGCTCTCATGATTGTTATAAGCCTGGGGAGCTTTTAACAATTCATCAGAGTGAATTCTCTAACAAAATTTGTCATGAATGTTTGTGTCCAATATCTTAGATAATTCATTTCCATCATCATCAGTTTTTGCAATACCAAACAATGATTTCCGCATATCATTAGTAAACTCATTATCATTATCTCTCATTATGAACATAAATTTAGTTCCACGGAATTGGTGCAACCCGACGTAGAAAATCCGAATGAAATCCTCATTGTAATCCCGCGACAACTGTAGAAAGTAGTTGATTACTTGTTGTTCAATGCGATCTACCACTTCAGGAATATGGAGTTCTTAAACCACCCTTGAATTGTACACATGTTACGACAAGTCTATTTTTGCACTTTTCATCAAAGAATGTGACATCCCTTTCATTAATCAACTCCAAAACATTTTTAGGTTAATGGGATAAACTGCATGGAAATGTCAAAAACTTGTTTTCTACTAACACTTTATGCAAGTTAAAAAAATGGCAACAATGTGTTTTTTTGGCACAGTGATAAGTTCAAATTGTAGCCATTTTTGTATATACTTTTTGTTGCACTTATCGACTCTTTGTTGTTGATATCGTTGAATAAACCCGACTTTTGTGTAAATACGTTTAGTTTGTGTTTATTTGTGTTTTGTGTATATAGTGTACCGTTTGATGTTTTTCCATTCAGTTTCTAGATATTTATTACATTTTAGAGCATTGAGGAATAAGGTGTTGAAGGAACGAATCCGGATGTGTGTTTTTGGAATAAAAGACCAGTTCTGTCCAGAAGAGCCCGCTTAGCACGCAGAAGACCGTTAAGTGTGAGTGCACTCAGCGTATTTTGTAGCGCACTGCTTGCATTTTGATATTTTGGCAGAAGCATTATTTTGAATCCTGCTTAGCGCGGTTTGATGTGTAAAATAAAGAAGTCGCGCTTAGCGCGCAAGGCCCGCTTAGCGCGGTCTACTGAGATTTGTTTTATAATCTCATTTCATTCATTTTTTAGGTTATGGTTTTGGAGAAGTTTTTGCTCCCAACTCCATCAACCTTTAATTTTGTTAGGATTATCTTAGATAACAACTATGGAGCTTGCATACGGATAATTCGGGGTGGATTACTCTTTGATTAGTGCTGACAAACCGATATATTTGTGGTTCATTTCTCTTTTTATTTGTGTATTCTCTTTTGGATGGGTTTGTACATGTATTTACTTTGATCTTTATGTATATTTTTCGTCCTTGGCGTTATATAAAACTTGCTTTACATATCTTTGTCGATTGTAATCCTTGATTTTTGCTCTGAGCGAGTGATTTGAGTTGTTATAGACATATACTAATTGAATTCTTATCTAGGATGATTATGTAATAGTGTCTGAATTCTAGAGATAGATTTAACGTTGTTATTCACTTAAGGTGTCTGTGATTAATGTCTCCGTGTTGTTTGTGTCGCTCAGAGAGATTGTCGATGCAAGCGAGCACAATTGACTTATGTGTTATTGAGGTGGTTGAGAGATTGCTACCGAGGTAATGCAGTCGGCCTCTCAATTTGGGTTAGAAATAACTTAGGTTGTGAGTGACACGTGATGACATAGATGAATATTGTAGGTTTAGTATAATAGGTCGATAGGTTTAAGTTTGTGAGAAGTAATATATATGCACGTTTGATAAGTTGTTTCTTTTTCCTTTTTATATATTTATTTTCTGTTGGTAATTTTCCTTTCAATCCATTTATCCCCAAACTCATTAACGAGAGATTTGTCGAACGGTATTTCAATTCATCAATCTCTATGGACACGATACGATATAACATATATCTCCCGGTAAACTAATAACTTACTTTTTGCTTGCCACTTTACCGCAACCAGCACACAATTGATGGCTTGGTGATCAGCCATTGAAGGAAGCTTTTGAAGAACTTTATGATGTTGTTGTTCACCCCTTCTATTGCGTTTTGATGTTGGTTCGTGGACTGGGAATATTTGAAAGTGGGATATACCTTTTGTTGAGGGGAACCAAAATGATGTTTTCTGGATGCAGGTACATGAACTATTTGATATTTTGGAGGCTTTACAACCAGTCCAAGATGCTTTCAACGAATGCAGTTGGGTCAAAGAAGTCGATGAGCTTTATTCAGTCAAAAATGGTTACGGTTCTACTGTTGTTTTTTCAGTTTCGTTTATTTTTTTGGACTGCTCATATCCGAATTGCGCTTAGTATTCTGTGGGATATCAAAGCTTCTGCGAGAATCATTTTGTTTTGTTGAAGGCTGCTCGTTAATCGCTTGCCAACCCGTGACCAACTCACTGAGAGAAGAATATTATCATTTGGGAGGGATAGTTGTTGTGTCTTTTATTTGACAGAGGAGGAAGATGCTCAACATTTATTTGGTCAGTGTGCCATAATGAGAAGTGTGTGGGATGCATTTATCAAGTGGTTAGAGAACATGATCTTTGTAATTTTTAGAATAAATACTTAAACTAATTTTTATTTATAGCTTTTCAAAATAATCTTTGTAATTTTTTAAAATAAAAATATGTAATAGTACAAAAATAGTTTAAATTCTTTTGAAACAAACTAGTAATTAAGAGACCAGAGAAGGACACGAGCTGAGCTATATAATTTTCAAAATATTTAAAAATAAAAGCAAAAAACATATCAATAATTTTTCTATCCACAAATGTTTTAGAAATAATTTCACTTGGATCAACGAATGAAGCCGTGAAACTATAGAATCAAACTGATTTTAAAATGAGGCAGGAAAACGCAAGATTTGACGACACAAAACTAATCTTGTTTGTGATAATACTTTCTGCTTCACAACTTTTACTTTTTGTTCTTATTAAGCTTGTTTATGAATATTAATTATTATCTCGATGGAGACTAATAATTGGATCGTATTAGATGAATGTCCATATAACAACAAGAAATAAGAACAAAATACAACTAATTTATATAAGGGAGAAGTAAATCATACTAAATGAAAACCCACTTAGAGCATTCACATCCATACTACTCATATTAATAGTATAAGTGAGTCTCATATAATATAATATATTACTTTACACTTCTCAATTATTTAAACCACTTAATTATATTTTCTAAATATCCATATTACTTACTTAAAATTCTAACATGGGTCCCACAAAATTACATTATGTTTTAAATTTATTTTTTATATTAATATATAAAATATATAATTGAAATAAATTAAATCTATTATATCAAAATGCATAATATATATATATATATATATATATATATATATATATATATATATATATATATATATATATATATATATATATATATATATATATATATATATATATATATATATATATATATATATATATATATATATATATATATATATATATATATATATATATATATATATATATATATATATATATATATATATATATATATATATATATATATATATATATATAAAATAAAAATATTCAAAAAATAAATAATTAAAAAAATATGAAAATATATTAAATAACATACTACATGACACATAAATTATACGAAAATACAAAAACTAAAATAAAATCATAAATATTAAAATAAACTATTAGCATAAAATATAATAAACATTTAAAATAATTTCTAATTCTGGTTATTCTCATGACCAAAACGTTCCCATATGTGTTCTATCAAGTCCTGTTGAAGGTGTCGATGAATTTGCTTATCGCGAACATTATGTCTTCTACGTAAGAACTCTTGAAAATCATTATTAGAATCGTTTGGTGGTGCAGTTGGGTAATTGCCCAAATGATCATAAGAATAATCAAAATTCCCCCCATAGGTGGCACGTTCATCTTCAACAATCATGTTGTGCAATATGATGCACGTGTTCATTATACGTTTCAGTGCATCCAAGTGCCAAGATCGAGCCGGGTTACGTATGATTGCAAAACGGGATTGTAGAACTCTGAATGCTCGTTCGATATCCTTTCTTGCACCTTCTTGATGTTGAGCAAACAATTTTCTCTTATCCCCTTGTGGCATTGGGATGCTTTTCACAAATGTAGCTCATTCAGGATAAATGCCATCTGATAGATAATAGCCCATGCTGTATTCATGTCGATTGACTGAATAATGGACCTCAGGAGTTCTCCCTTGCATAACATCGTTGAAGACATCTGACTGGTTCAACACATTGATATCATTGTTTGAACCCGCTACCCCAAAGAAAGCATGCCAAATCCATAAATCTTGTGAAGCAACTGCTTCAAGCATAACCGTGGGTTTACCATGATCACCTCGAACATATTTCCCTTTCAATGCAACTTGGCAATTTTTCCATTCCCAATGCATACAATCAATACTCCCCAACATACCTGGAAAGCCACGTGCCTCCCCCATCTGTAGCAAGCGTTCAATGTCTTCAGTTGTTGGCTTTCGCAAATATTGTGACCCAAATAAACTAATCACACCCCTTGTAAACTTATCAACACATTTTAGTGTCGTGGTTTCACCGATTCTTAAATAGTCATCTACACTATCAGCTGATGTTCCATATGCCAACATACGAATAACAGCAGTGCATTTTTGTAGCGGCGAAAGACTTGATCTACCGGTTGCATCAATCTTCAACTGAAAATACTCATCATGTTGACCAAGAGCTTCAACGATGCGAAGGAATACATGTTTATGCATTCGATACCTTCTACGAAATTGCTCATCCGTGTACACTGGAGTTTCTGAGAAATAATCATTGAACAACCGCTCATGTCCTTCTTCACGATTCCTCTCTATATTCCTTCTTTGGCGTCTAGGCCTACTTGAGCTCTCACATTCTTCTTGCGCATGACTTTCAAAGTAGAGCTTCACAAGTTCTTCATCCATGCCGTCATTCATAAAATCCATGAACATTTTTCCAAGATGGGAAGGATTAGAAGGATCCATGTGAAGTTAGGAAGTTGAGAATGATTTTTTAAAGGTATGAAGTTAGGAATGATTTTGAAGTTTGTTATGCATGTTATAATATTTATAGGGATATGAATAACGGCTAGTTTGACTAAAATTGAGTTTGAATAACGGCTATTTTGACTAACGGCTATTTTGAATAACGGCTATTTTGACTAACGACTATTTTGACTAGCTATTTTGAATAACGGCTAGTTTGACTAAAATTGAATTTGAATAATGGATATTTTGAATAACGACTAATTTGACTAAAAATAAACTAGTCTTCATAAACTAAATTTATATATAGATATTAAATCCAACATACATAATTATTAAATTCAACATAGATAAAAATGACTAGTCATCATAAACTAAATATAAATTAAATCCAACATACATAATAATTAAATTTAACCTACATAATAATATCATTTAACTCCATATCTATCTCTAATTACACCGCACAAAAATTCGTGATCTTGTAGTTGTCTTGGTGTCATATTTGATGTATCCTTCGAGAGTATTTGCAAATCATTAATCTTTGCCGCATGCAACTCAGCATCAACCCTTTTCCTCTCTATCTCCATTTTTTCACTCTCAATACGTGCATAATCACGTGCAAACCCCGACATTAATTCAACTTTTTTGTTTAAGTCATCTTTCATAGCATCAAATTTAGGAGTAGGTTTTTCCACAAACTTTTCTTTTTGCTTCCTTTTGGCCGCCTTATTACCGATTGGACGATGTAACAAAGTCGGTGATGGTGGATTGTATTCGCTTGTTGGTGTTGTTGGGTTAGAAGATGTTGAATATGCTCCGGAAGCCGAACTCTTTGTTCTTTTTGCAGAAGGTTCCGATGAACCTCCAAGCCATTTGGGTTCATCTCTCAATAATTTCCATGCACTCTGAAATGTGAACTTTTCATGTCCGTCTTGGTAATAAATATCACATGCCGCCGAAACGATGTCACTCTCAGAGCTACCACTTTTCTTTATAGCGACAGCTTGTTTGTAGCACCCAACAAACTTTTGTACAGAAGGATTAATTTTTTTATGCCATCGACCTTTTAGTGCCAACGGATTCCTCTCGGGAAAATTCTTGTGGCGGTGGTTATTATAAGCTTCACCAATCCTCTTCCAGAAACTATCTCCCTTTTGATCAACCCCAACAATTGGATCCCTTGAAATGTTGAGCCATGATTGAATGAGAAGTTCATCCTCCTTTGGTTGAAATCTTATTTTCGACATATTCATAACCGATGTAGTTTTGACTTCTTCACCAAGGTTGATTGTTTCTAACCCATCTTGAGCTTGAGTGCAAAATTGTTGATTTGGGATAAATGATGGAATGCCACAATTTTGCATGAAATTGGACCAAGAGTTATGGTTGTTGGGGTTCATTGGCAAATAAAATGTGTAGAAGAAAAAGATTAAAAAAAGATGAAGGAAATGATTCAAGTTTAGACTAAATATAGATGAAAAATTATGATAGATTGAAATGGTTGATCACTTATTTATTCTCAAACTAGTTTTTATAACAAATTAAAAATTACAAAAAAAATAATAATAAATAAAAAATGCAACGGTTATTTTTTTCAACGGTAACATGTTATTTGAAAATTTAATCCAACAGCTATACATGCTACAAGCTAATATATTTATTAAAAGCTACGATCCCTTTTTTGGATACGGTGTCAATTAATACTACTATCATTTGTCTTCTATTATCAATACTACTCTGACTACAGTAGTACACATAGACATAAGCCACAGCGATATTTATGCTCTTATGGAACTAATCTATCTTCAACTTTATCAAAATAGAATATAGAATATGTATACAATTTATTATGGTAACCATACTGTCACAAACGCATGGTGACTTGTTAAGATAGCTCTAATTATTACACGTTCACTTGTCAGATAGGTTTAAAATCTCAAATTATTCTCACGATTGGAAATCTAAACATTTATGGTCATATTATGTTAATATCATATTCAAATTATATAGAAGTGTTGTTATTCTTAAGATCTTAGTTATTAGTTAGGATACTCTAAGATCCCAGCTAGCATTCTTAAAATCTTTGTTAAATCATTCTTAAGATCTTAGTTAAGATGTTTTTGGAATATCATACATGTCATCCTTAAAATTTTTGTACATTTTGATAGGAAGTGACAAGAGGTTTCAATAACAGTCAAATGAGTAGAGTTTGAGGTTCCTAGAAGAAAATCAACATAGAAATTAATTTATTCAGGAATGAGATTTTGAGATTAGCAAGATAAAGAAATGGAAGAACCAAAGACGGAATATTATATGATTATGTATTTGGTTTATAATCGAGATTGTTAATCATGTAAGCCGACGTGTTTGAAATTCTTGCATAAATGGAATATAGCAAAATTGATGTTACAATCATTAGAACATGATGTCATGACTGTTATTAGAATATATGTACGCAGACTGTACATCAATATCAAACTAATAAATTTTGCAAAAATATAAACACGAAATGATAAAGAACACAGTCGAATTGTTAACTTAGTTCAGTGCAACTCACCTACTCTGGGAGCTATCAAGTTAGGAACGAAATTCACTATTATTAGTATTAGTTCAAAGCTAAACTCCCACGTTTACAACTTATCGCCTAATCCCTACCCAATGCAACTTCTACCTAGGTCCTCCCTAGATATGAGAAATCACCGTCCCACTTTCAATCAGCACAGTGATAAAAACTCACAATCACAGGGAAAACAATTACAGTCCCAGGAATTGTTAGGAAGTACACAGTCCCCATTTACAGCCAAAAGAAGACATCACTTCCAAAAACAAATACTTAGTCTTGATTAAAAGCTTCAACCAAGAACAATACTCAACTCGTGACTACGGGCTTTGAGTGAGAATAATAACTTGACAAGTAACAATCAGTCAACTCAAATGTATCAGAGATGCATGAGGACGTACAAATAAACACAAAGAGAACCTAAAGAACTACCAACCCCAAACCCTTATTTTTTACAAGGTTTTACAATAAAAACAATGCGTAAAAATTAAGTCTTAGACGACTCCTTATATAATGTTTGACAGTGGGCTTGGACTCTTTAATCAAATCCAACCAGCAGCTCCCAAAACCTGCAGAATCTTCTCCAAAAAAATAGAAACAATCTTCATAAAAAGTTTCATAAAAAGTATCAATCGATCCTTTTTAGTAACCAATCAAATATGCACTTGTTTCTAACAAAATCCTTGATTGGCATGCACATATAATGAGTACAGAATATTCCAGATACTCATATCTTCAATATAAATCTTCAAGGATAAAATATCCAGCACACTATCAAGATGGTTTGTTGTAACATGTTACAACATCTGTTGGAATATCTTTCAAATAAGGCACCTGCAGACTTTGTTGTACCTGCTGCTCTAGATGTTATGACATCGTCTTCAATATTTGATAGAAAAACTCATAACAACTGGAAATGCTACGACAGTTGATAAAGATGTTGCCCCATCTTACTCAATATCAACATAGAACCATATTCAGAGTCATGCTTAGCCAAAATTTAGGCAACCATAAAAACATAGAACAGTCAATGTCCCCCTTTGGAAAATTTTGGCTAAAATAACCAAAAACCAAATTCAATTGGAGAGAAGAATAAAACCACACTACAAGTTACATGCTTATCATGTAAACTCTGTACACACAACACAACTAAAAAGCTTGTACAATCAAACATGTTAGCACTCTCCCTGTCACACATAATGGATTATCTCCCTCAAGGGTAAAACCCACACCAGGGCACATGCAGCGGAACAACAGAAGCATCATCAGCTGCTTCAGCATACACAAGCATGAACACACTTGATCCCCCTTAATGATTGCATGAGCAACCACACACACAACTACTCTTATAGAAGCAGTGCACACAATCCTATCACAATGCTAAGTCAACATGTCAAGACATGTGATGTAACATCGGGACACAACACTTTACTCCCCATTTTTATCCAAAATATTGTCAAAAAGAACTAGAGTAAATTTACACAATGGAAACTCACATAGCACTTCAAAATATATTGCACTTAGGCAATACCACGGA